CATACTAGCATCCGGTAAACATGATTTGTGAATAAACACCCAATAAATCCGGAGGGTTATATAAATACAAACCTCTCATCAAAATCAAAAACTAGGAATTATGAAAACATAAGAATTTGACCAATGAAAATTTGTTTTCATAAAAAGTTTCAAAGCATAATTTTCAAATAACCAAGAAAAAGGAAAAATAAGAATACTAAAATTCTTGGTTTAAAATTTAAATTTGTTTTGGTACCCAAGAACTCTTGGTACCAAAGGATTTAGGGACATGACCCCTATCAATGAAGCTCAAAGCCTTAGGGTTATGAACCCTCTTAGGCACATATGGTGCACTAACATGGTCAAAACAATATTCATTCAAATGACCCTTCCGATTGCAATTTGTGCAATGAAAAGGTTGAAATAATTTGCGTTGACCGAATGGTTGTGCACGGAAAACATTAGAAACATTTGCAAACATGGATGATCTTTTAAGATTGTTTTGCAAATGTGAAACTCTCTTTAAATCAAAACAAAATTTAGCCAAGTGACCAAATCGACCACAAAAATCACATTTGTACACATGGACATGTTTATGATGATCTATATGTGTGTGTACATGTGAATGTGATGAAGAAGTCTTATGAGATGCACAATAAGGATTAATATTCTTATGTTTTTGTGCATCATAACAAAACTTAGCTAAATGACCTTGACGGCCGCAAATAGAACACTTATAAGTTTTGCTATACATGTGTGCATAATGAGTGGATGATTTTGATTTAGTCTTGGCACACATGTCCATAAGCTTCTTATGGTTATTAATGCATATTTTCAAAGTTGAATCTAAGGATGAAATACTATTTTTCATAAGATTCAAATCTTCATTTTTAGGCACATATGCATTTTTAGAAGTAGAACATAAATAGTTATTTATAAAAGAAGCTGTATTATTTTTTATGTTCTCTACTTCTAACATGGCATTATCTTTCTCATGAGTTAACTTACCAAAGTTTGAAATTAAAGAATCATGATCCAATTTTAATTTTTCATTATTTTCTTTAAGGATCATATTCTCATTAGAAATAGTATCAAACTTAGAAGCTAAAGACTCATGATCGGATTTTAAAATTTCATGCTTGCTTTTAAGATTAATGAAATCATTTTGCAATTTCTTGTAGGCATGCAATAATTTATCACTAGCACAAGCAAGTTCATCATTATGTAAATCATTAATAGATTCGAACTCGCAAACCTCACTAGGGCTATCGCCTAGTGGCCGTGTGCATGATGCCCCTTTTGAACTTGAAGCGGGATCCTCCAAAGCTTGTCGGATCGCCTCCAAGTCTCCTTGATGCGCTTCTATGAATTTCCATAATGTATAAGCGCTATCAAAAGAATCAAGCTTGTTAGACATAAATGAATCAAATGCATTTAATAAAAATTCTAACATAAGCTTGTTCATAATAAACATCTTTTTATCATGTTTGCTCCACTTGGATTTCTCCAACGTGGGCACAATATAAGCACAATCAATGATTTCCCATAAATCGATATTTTTAGATTGAACAAATATTTTGAATCTAAAACACCATTGAGCATAAGGGAAAGCATTGAATTTAGGAGCAATACTAGAATCATAGCCTAAACAAGATGCATCATTCATATCCATAATTTGTAGAAATATGCAAGCAAGATACAAATGCAATCAAAACAAGATTAGCACAAAAAGATAACTTGGATCTTTAACTCAAGGCGATTAGACCTTAAATCAAAGAGCACCAAGCTCTGATACCAATTGTTAGACCCTAGAGGGGGGGTGATTAGGGTCTTATGCTAATCTAATCCGATTAAATGCCAATTAAAACTTATTAATAAGTTATCCTAGCAAATATGAAATACCACAAGACATATAAGCTAGGATAAGCAATGCAAACAAAGAGATATATCCTATATGATGAATATGTATATATGCAAGGATATATAAACAACACAAGGGTAAACAAAATGAACCAAATAGTGGATCATATAAATAATGAGCTATGGACAATGGCGATATCAGATATGAACATAAATATAAATGAACGCCAAAGCACACTCAAACACACTATATGATCACGGAGTTCGGACCTTCCGTCCTACGTCTCCGCTCCCCACTCCCGGGGAGAAATCCACTATCACAACCGGGTTTTCTACGCTCACCCGAATAACGTTTACACCTCACAGTGTCGGTTTTCAACGCTCACCGAACAACGTCACTCCTCACACTCGGTTTTCTAGTTCACCGAAAACTTCACAACACACTCGGTTTTCTAGCTCACCGAAAACCTTACACCACTCACAATGTAACAAATATAAATTTGTTCTCTACAATAGATGAGAACTCAATTAAGCACAAACTCAATGTTACAATCTCTCACAACCCTAATATAATATGTATGCAAATACAATAAGCTCAAGTGGGTGTGTGTAACAATGAGATAATATAATCAAATCTAAACTCAATATAAAAACTAGCTTTAAAGAATGATAATCAAATAACTAAGCAAATGTAAAGCTAGATAGAGTTTAGAAAACTTCTCCAATAGATGACAAGATGGAGAGATGGAGATTGGAGCCCAAACAAGAAGATGATCTCCTCCACTTGTGAAAACAATCTTCAAACCAAACAAACACTAAAACACACTTAAACCCTTGTTTAAAACTCTTTAAACTTGTTTAAAACATTTCTTAAGTGCCCTTAGAAGTATGAGGGCATGGGGTATTATACCCTCTCAAAAATAACGGATATATATAAATCTGGAAAATATAGCCGTTAGCTACAGTAACCAACCTCCAGAGACATTTCCGGTCGACCGGTCCGGTCGACCGGATTACTGTAGCAGTGCGTAGCTGTTTTGTAAAATCAATTTAAAATAGTAAATGAACTCTAAAAATTATGACATTTTGTGGGAATGTTCTAGACATGTAGAATAACATGTCAGAGAAAGAAATTCTGAAAAATATTTTCCCAGTTGAGAGAAATAAATGTTTGAATACAAAAATATAGTTTCTGAAAATCTGCTGTGATACACGATTTTGTAAAATCAATTAGGCACAGTAAATAAACTTCAAAAATAGTAAAATTTTGAGGGGAGTTTCTAAACATGTAGATAAACATTTCAAAGAAAGAATTTATTGAATATAATTTTCCATTTATGAAAACTCGTCTATTTTGTAAAACATGCACGAACATGCATGAATGAAAATTATGATTTTGTAAATTCCATTAAACATAACAAATCAATTCCAAACTTGATGAAACTTTGAGAAATGTTTGTAAACATGAAAACAAACATGTTAGAAAAAGAATTTCTCAATTTTCATTTATAATTTGTGAAAAAACACTGTATTCTGCAAAAGCACTAAAAGACGTATATATGAAAAACATGTGATTGTTATTTTTGACTCAAAACAAGTTTTGAAAACTTATGGAATATTTATATGGACATAATAAAAGTTGTTTATGATGTAAATATAGTCCAAAACTTATTTTGCATAAAAACACTTATAGTTACGAAAATCACAAATATATATGTGTGTGTATGTTTGAGCTTATAGAATTAACACACATGATATAAACCTATACTAAATATACCCAAGCAATGATCTTGATCTTCATTGTAGCTCAACTTGGTACACGTTGCTGATGAAGCTAAACTTGGATCTTGAACTTGAATTGTACGATGCTTCACTCCATAATTCCGCCAACCTCCATTTGATATCGTCGTTATGGCGCAATCCATCCATCCTCCAACTACGTTGTTTGTCTACAATACATAGGAATGCACAAACACTAGACAAACAACATTAGTAGTAAATTGTTTGTAAATCATCATCAAAACAAGAAGGCCAACAATCTCCCCCTTTTTGATGATGACAAACAATTTACAAAAAGGATATATGCATGAAAGGAAATGAATATATAAATTATAATTCACATGCATATAAACAAGAAAGAATATACATATACTCACAATATTTCTCCCCCTTTGACAACATCAAAAAGGGAACAAAAGAATTAAGAGAGCGAAAGCTCCCCCTATCAAAAAGCATGGGTGGGTATAACACATAGAAAGATATAGGGATTGCTCCCCCTATCAAAATATCCCATGAATGTATAAAATGAAGATCATGGCAAACATATGTGAGCAAGCATAAAAGATATGCTAACAATCACTCACATTCAAGAGATAATGAGAACACATATAAATGTATCATTTAAAACAAATGTCTCATATCAAAGAACATAAACATTATGTATAAAATAGATTTATGAAAGAATACATGAGAATCATGTAAAAAGTTTTCAAAAGAAAACAAATCACTCAAATGAAATCATAAATCATTGTTTGTTGTGAAAATTATTATTGTGGATTTAGAACTTATCGTGAAAATTGAATGTATATATTTCGATTGTTTGTGAAAATTGATTGGATGAGAGGTTTAATTGGGAAAATTTGGATTGTATTCATTGCGAGATGTTTTGGAATGCGTGTGAAATGTCGTTTGGAGATTTGTATGTACAGGGAATATATATATGTATAGGGAACTGAGTATATATCACCAGATTTTTTTTAGCTGCTGATACTTATCGCTGACGGGCTTCCCGTCAGCGATAGGTATCGCTGACGGGAAGCCCGTCAGCGATGTACATAACATAGCTGACGAGTTCCCCGTCAGCGATACTTATCGCTGACGGGAAGCCCGTCAGCGATATTACAAACATCGCTGACGGGTCCCCGTCAGCGATAAGTATCGCTGACGGGGATCCCCGTCAGCGATGGAGAAACATCGCTGACGATAATCCCGTCAGCACTGTTTCTCTATCGCTGACGGGCTTTGCCGTCACCGATACCGCCGTCAGCGATAAGTATCGCTGACGGCATCCCGTCAGCGATAGTCCTTTGGAGAAACATCGCTGACGGTAATCCCGTCAGCGATGTTTCTCTATCGCTGACGGGCTTTGCCGTCACCGATACCGCCGTCAGCGATAAGTATCGCTGACGGCAGCCCGTCAGCGATAGTCCTTTCCTGACGGGACTATCGCTGACGGCGTATCCTTGACGGGACGCCGTCAGCGATACGTATCGCTGACGGGAAATGGGGCATCGGTGACGGGAATGCCCGTCAGCGATACATGATTTTCCACTAGTGCATCCAACTGTTAGAGGCAAAAAATAATATTCAAAGATGATTTGTATTGCGTCATCTGAAGAGAGTTCATCTCATTCCCTATCTGTAAGTGTCGACATATATATTTTATAAAAAAAAATCAAAGTAATGCTAGTATCCATCAGATGAGAAATAATATTTGGGTAGGCTAATCTCTTCTTGATCAAGTTGTATCACCAATCTCAAGGAAAGTAGAGCAATCCTTAAATATTTATTACTTAGATACATATTAGTATCACTTTGTTTGTAAAAAAAAATTGTGAGGTGCATGCTTCCAGAAATTTACTTCTTGCTGTTAATTACTCTTGTTAAAAGAAACTCCTGATTAGTAGAAAGCAAAGAATTAAATAGACATTAGAAATCAAATGCGAAGAGATATTAATTTTATTATATTTCTAATGTATTGCAAAATTTAAGAGAAAGAAGATGGGATCTTGGGTCTCCAAACAATGTTCTGGAGCCCTCCTCCCTTTTAAAATGAAAAAATGTAGAGGATCTTGTCGTTGTTGTTTCAAACTCCAAGTCTCTCTTACTTTTCAATCTCTCTGTTTTTTCTCTATCTTTTCTGTCGTTCTTTTGTTATCATATCTCCCCATTTTTTTCTGACGAAAGGAATGTCTATTTATAGGGAAGGGCAGTGGACGTTATTGCTAGGTGTTGAAAAATGATTGAGGAGTTATGATAACTTCCTTATCGAAACTTTCTTATCAAGATTGTTGCGTTCGTTTATTATAACGAACATTTTCTTTGCTTTTCACTTCTCATGTGTCTATCCGCTTATCTTTTGTGTTTCTTAAAATAAGTATTATATGGAACCCATATGCTTTCAAGCCGAATTAGGTTTGTACAAGGATGTGTATCCTTGAGTTAGATTTTTCATTGCCAAGGCTTATGATCACATGAAACCACCAATGTATTGAAGATGATATGCACCCTCCAATTGAGAATTTGATTGTGAAGGGATGAAGCATGTGTTTTTTGTGTTGGAATAACAGAGGGTTCACATACTCTCAAATTTACATGAGGTGTTGTCATCCTCAACTTGATTTTCATTTATATGAGATACTATCTCTCACATTGATTTTGGTTTATATGAAGTATTATCCCTCACATTAAGTTTCATTGATAAGTTTTGTTGAGTTCATCAAATTTGACAACTACAAGGGAAACACGTGTCTCTCTAAATTAATTAATATGGAAGACCTACCTTTATTGGTTTAGATTTATATAAGGTATTATCTCTCACATTAGTTTTGATTTTTATGAGATACTATCATTCCTCACAATAACTTTCATTTATAGTGCTTATTCATACGTATGAATTTTATTTTTTTGTGCGTCTACACTATCTCAACAATTTCTAAGAGCATCCCTATGGTTTGGGCTCTATTTGTCTCATACATGTCACGTCAAAGTCATGTGGAGCCGCATGACAACCTCTTTTCTTATCATCTAACAGAATAACATTATTTTATTATGTATTTTCTAGTAGAGAGCGGATCAAACTTGAAATTGACCCGATCTTATTTACCATGTATTTATTCCTCTATAATAATGGGAGGATACAAGATTTATTATTTATGTCACAGTAAATTACTATAGCATTATTACTGTAGCACAGACAGGACGATCCAATGTACATCATTCATGCTACAGTAAATTTACTGTAGTATTATTACTGTGGCACATGGTTGGTGTAGCGTTTAAAAACATTATTGTAGCATTATTATTGTAGCTCAGGTGGAAACGGTAACATTTAAAAAAATGTTACTGTAGCACTTACGAAAACTGTATTTAAATACAAAATTATCGTAACGGAAATAAAAAAATAGAGGTAGTGCTTTGCACGGTGTGCACACTAGTTTTAATGGAAAGCAGAAATTGACCACACCCGCATAAGCTAATCTCCGCTCAACTCACCTAGTAAATTACTGAGGTGCCATTGTCCATGTCCATCCCCATGAAAAAGGAGATATTCATACTTCACCAATAACCCAAGATCCGAAAATGATTGATAAATTCTAAAAACTTCAATTACCAATAACTTTTTAATAAATAATAAGTTAAGAAGAAAACATATATAAATGGAAAAGACACCAAATGGGTTAAGAGAGTTGAATAGATCAAGTATAATTAACCATACCTGACTGGCTTAATAATCCAATTGAGCTAAAAATATTATCGGGTCGGGTTCGGATTGATCCGACGATTTGGAACCCGTTTTCCGCCCTACGCGCCAAAAGTACAACCACCAATTACATCAGCCTACGTTATTGCTCAATAAATAACCGGCGGTTGGAAGAGAGACACGGCAACAACTATTTTGCCTTTTTTTCCCATATATTCCTTCATTAATTTTATTTTACTCTTTTTTTTCCTTAACCTGGTATAGATTCGTCGCATTGTTTGAAAAAGTGGTAGTCAACCTCAGTAAGCGGCAGCCCCCGTGATTACCTCATGCCACACGTATGAGAATTTGAACAGTTCTTTATTTATGTAACAAAGAATTTACCATTTATTTCTTTTCATTTGTTCTCTCCTTATTTAGTGCAGGCCTGTTAAAAAAATAGAATAAAATAAAATTTGAAGCCCACTTTGATTTCCTTTAAAGGCTAGTATCGGCTTGCTGCATG